GCAGGAATGGGAGCCCCACGGAGACTCTTCCAGAGTGAAGAGCCTTGTTTCCCCCCAGGTCTGGGTTTGACCCTAAGTTGGAAGGACCAGAAGCTGAGAAAGACTTTGGGATGTGAAAGAAATAGCCCTGGACTTGGTTGGAGGTTTAGGTTTAGGGACTTCTCTGGTGGCCCAATGGGTAAGACTCCACGTTTCCCCTACAGGGGGCACGGGTTCGATCCCTAGTCGGGGAACTAAGATCCCGCCTGCTGTGCGGTGTGGCCAAAAGGAAAAAAAAAAAAAAAAAAGGTTTAGCTTTAATTAGGGACATACATGCAGCCCTGCAGCATTCACTCCCCGCACTGAGCCCACATCCTCCTCAGACTGGCTTGTCATCCTGCCCACCCTGCCAGGGCACACTGAAGTTCAGCTGGGACAACAGGTATGAGAGTGCTTTGGAATCTACCAAACACCGTCTAGGCGTGAGGGCTGACTTCCTTACCTCTTTGTCCCCAAACTTAGGTCCCCTTGCTGGTGCCAGGGCTCAACTACCCCCTGGAGACCTTTGTGGAGAGTCTTAGTGACAAGGGCATCTCAGACATTATCAAGGTAGGTTGCCCGTTGGTACTAGTTGGGGAGGTCAGTGTGAGTGAGTGCGGACAAGGCCCCCGGGTGGCTGCCAGGATGGGGTGGGTGTCTGCCCAGTAGAGGCCTCCCAGCCTCCCCCTCCCCTTTGACAGAGCCCTGCACTAGGGCCAGTGCAGACCAGACCGTGCTTGGCCTTTGCAGGAGCAGAAGGGTAAAGGGGGAATGCTGGGGCGCCTTCTCCATAGGTGCTGGTGCTCCGAGAAGGCCAGAGCGCACCCCTGCTCAGCGCCCATATCAACATGCCTGTGAGTGAGGGGCTGGCAGCTGCCTGACGCCTGAGCCCATGTTAAAGCCCCTGTGGAATCAGGACCAGGGAGTTCCAGCCCCTTCCACTGAGCCGGGCAGAGTCCACGGCCCCAGGCCCACTCCAGTGCAGCAGTGTGCTGAGCGACAGCCTCCCTCTCCTCTCCTCGTGTCCCTTTCTCACCACCCTGACCACTGGGTGACCTGTAGCAGCAGGTCAGTGAGTCCCCAGGAGGTTGGGCTCCGTCCTCCTCAGGGAAACCCAGGCATTGGCCCTTTGGGCTCTCACTTCTCCCCACTTTTCCCCAGAAGCCACTCCCAGGTCTGAAGGCAGAGTTCTGAAGTGCTCAAGGTGAGATGAGGGCATAGGCCCAGCCTCCTCATCTGCCGCTTCCCTTAGGCATGTCACTCTGCTGCTGCTGCAGAATTGGCTGGGGCCTTGCCTGAGACAATCAGAGGCTTTTCTTGGGTGAGACTGAGCCCCCTGTTGCTCCCTGGGGTTCCAGAGGCTTGGCTCCTCCCAGCTCAGCTTGCAGGCAGAACACATGCTCTGATCTCCCTGTGTAAGCTCAGCAGGGGGCCCCTCTTTCTAGTCAGGGGGCCCCAGGAATAGCTGCCTTCCCACAGGAAGTCTTGGGCTCAGCCAAGGTCTCAGGCCTGTGATGCTCCATGAAGATCACCAAGGGAGAAGCTGCTGCGGGGAGGCAGAGAGTGCCGTGCAGGAGCTAGTGGCCCCAGCCCCCCACCAGGCTTCTGAAGACCACACAGCTGCTGCTCCTGACTTGGATGCTCGTGCCCAGAAAACATCCCAGGAGAGGAAGGCTCAGCTAGACAGAGCAGAGGTGGGGCCGCGGCACACAGGAGGGGCGTCTCTGGGGTCCTGGGGAGGGGGTTTGGGAGGCAGAAGCCTAGAACTGCCAGTCAAGATGCTCTCCTATGCCCCGGAGCCCAGATCGGTCAGGTGAGTGGCAAGTTCACTGGGCAGTGGCCATAGTGTGAGATTCACTGGAAAGGCATGGACCATAGGTGTTGAGTCAGGTTGAAGATTGAATGAAGGTACATGTTTAGATCTTAAGCATCAGAGACCCACAGTCTGGGCCCTTGGTGCTTCCTGGAGCCCCCTGGCTAGTCTGCCTGGCCCGCCTCACAGCCTTCTTTTGAGTTAGCGCTACCAGGGCCGCCCTGAGCCATTTGTGAGCCAGGAACCCTACTGCCTGAGGAAGGACCTATGTCTTCTGTCTGACCAGGTACAGGCTAGCATGTGGCAGACAGCTCAGGCTTGTGGGAAGTACCCAAATCCCTGTGTGTTTCAGTTTCCCCAAGCGTAAAATGAGGCAGTTTGACCAGATTTAGGTCTAACATCCTAGAGTTGGCAGCCCCTCTAGAGGAAACAAGGAGTCAACTCCAGAAAGGGGGTACTTGACAGGAGTAAGTGCAGAGCTTTTGCTCTTGAGACCAAGGGCCCCAAGCTGATTGATTCTGCTGGGCAACAGCCTCTGTGCCAGAGACAGTGAGGGACAGCCTACAGTCACCCCCTCTCCCCAGGAAATGCATTCTGGGGCCAGGTTAAGAGAAGTAAGTGGACTGGACCAGAGAAAGAGCCCCATCCCCCTCCTCTCTGCAGAGTCCAGCCACTCGCAAACAAACCAATTGGATCAGGGTGGTCTAGACTTTCTAGATCAAGCTGACTGAGGCACAGCTGGAATAAGCAGGAGGTTTCGTCTGGCAATGGAAAGACAGGTAGAGCGAATGTTGCTGTCAGTCAGAGAGATTTCAGCTTAACCTGAAGTCTTCTGAGAGAGCTTATCAGAGATGGAAGGGCCTGCCCTAGCAGGTATTGGGCCCCTTGTCACTGGAGCTGTGTCACTGGGGCTGGGCCAGATGACCTCACAATCCCTTTCACCCCAGTGAAGTGATGAACTGTGTGAACTCGGAACAAAGAAGTCTGAGCTGGGTTCAACTCATAGTTATTCATGATGATGAAAGTGGAGAAACTATTCCTAAGCCCAACCTAATGTGAATTTATATGATATAATACAATGTACCTATTATTAAAAAATATGTGAATTACACTGGTCTGGGCAGTGTAAATAAAGCAATACAAAGCAAGAAACTGTGCATGATACCCAGTGCCCTCACCAGTTAGAGCTCCAAGAAACTGTACACTAAGGATGAGGAGAGTGGTGCCGCCTTTTTTTTTTTTTAAGTATCTAAAAACATGTATCTACTTAGTACTATAGAATTAGGCAGTTTGTTACAAGAAAACAGCCTCTCAGGAATTTCCTGGCGGTCTAGCAGTTAGGACTCGTGCTTTCACTGCAGCGGCCCGTGTTCAATCCCTTGTCAGGGAACTAAGATCCTGCAAGCCTCTCCCCATTCCCCAGTACTGCTCCCATGCTACAGTTCTCTTAGCTATTCTTTAAATATGTTTATGCTTAGACATTATTTCTTGGCTCCCTATCGTAATAGATGAGGCTTATAGCTCTCTTGTGGGAGCACCCTGCCCTCTCCTTTTCTCCCCAGTTTTTAGGTAAATTCATACTCACTGTTTGGATTACTATGTGAAAGTTATCTACTTATTACAGAGCCAAGAATTGGGCTATAATTAAATTACCTTTTTTGTGTACTTATTTTTCATGGAGTTAATAATTGCCCTGTTTTTTCATTTGCTTAGTTTTCTATATTACACCGATTGCTAATTCTTCCTCCTCCCAGTCTGATGGTTCCTCTTTCTTCTGTACACTTCTGTTCATTCCCTGCCTAAGTGAATGCTGTTGGCTCTCTAGAACTGCAGCAAGCACTTCTCCTGGGAATTCTGTTTGCCATGTTCTGGGCTAGATTCCCTAATTCCTGGACCCCATGTCTTTTTTCATAATTCTTCCATTTTTGGTCAGGGAACTAAGATCCCGCATGCTTCACGGCATGGCCAAATAGTAATAATTTGAAAAAAACACTTGGGCTTCCCTGGTGAAATAATGGTTAGGAATCTGCCTGCCAATGCAGGGGACATGGGTTCAAGCCCTGATCCGGGAAGATCCCACATGCTGCAGAGCAACTAAGCCCATGTGCCACAACTACTGAGCCTGCACTCTAGAACCCGTGAGCCACAACTACCGAAGCCCGCACACCTAGAGCCCGTGCTCCGCAACAAGAGAAGCCATTGCAATGAGAAGCCCACACGCTGCAATGAAGAGTAGCCCCCACTCGCCGCAGCTAGAGAAAGCCCGTGGGCAGCAACAAAGACCCAACGCAGCCATAAATAAATAAATAAGCAAACAAATAAATAAAAAATAAGAAAAAAATTATTTAAAAAAAAACTTAAAATGTAAGACAGCAAGAGTATATAAAATGAGCAGGCAAACTTGAAAAAGAATCAAACAGAACCTCTAGAAATGAAAAATAAAACATTTGACACAAAACTCGAGTTGGTACAACCACTAAAAACAAACAAAAACCAAAAAAACTTCAATAGATTGGTTTAGCAGTTGATGAAAGACTTAATTGGAAGATAGATTTGTGGAAATTATTCAGAATGCCAGAAACAGAGAAAATAGGAGCTATTAAGAGACAAGGAGGGGGACTTCCCTGGTGGTCCAGTGGCTAAGACTCTGTGCTAGAACTGATGAAAGACATCAATTCATAGAATCAAGAAACCTAAGGAATCCCATTTAGATAAATACAAAGAAAACCACACTTGGACACATCACAGTAAAATGTAGAATACCAAAGACAAAAAAATCTTAAAAGCAGTTGGAGACAGAAAGTATCTTCAAAGGAACAGTAACAACAAAACAATGAAATAGATGACAGCTGACTTACAGCAACAATAGACACCAGAAGACAGAATAATATTTTCAGTATATTGACAGGAAATAACTATTAGCCTAGAATTCTACACCCAGCAAAAAAATAAAAGAGTAAAACACTAGCCAAGATAGGACAACAGCACAAAATAAAGGAGTAGAAATATATCCAAGGACGTTAATTACAATAGATAAAAATGACTAACTGCTGGGACTTCTCTGGCTGGCAGTTCAATGGTTAAGACTGTGCTTCCACTGCAAGGGGCACAGGTTTGATCCCTGGTCAGGGAACTAAGATCCCACGTGCTGTGTGGCGTGGCCAAAAAGAATGGACTGTGCTTCAGTTATTAGAAGACAAAGATTTAAACAATCCATCTACAGGCCATTCTTAAGAGGCAGAGAATGAAAGTAAAAGAATCAAAACTCAACATACTTGGAATAGAAGGGAACTTTCTCAGCCTAACAAAAGTCATCTATTAAATAAAAAAACACAGCAAACATATTTTATGGTGAAATATGGAAATCATTCCCTCTATTGTGAGAAACAAGTCAAGGGAAGCCACCCTTTCTTCCACCCAGAGAGAGAGGCAAGAAAAATAAGAGATAGTTCCCCGGTGGTCTAGTGGTTAGGATTCTGGGCTTTCACTGCCACGGCCTGGGTTCAATCCCTGGTCGGGGAACTGAGATCCTGTAAGCCGCGTGGCACAGCCAAAAAAAAAAAAAAAACTAAAGAAAAATAAGAGATATAAAAATTAAAAAGGAAGAACAAAACTATCTTTTCATAGATATGATTATAAATACAGAAAACCGAGAAGAATTTTCAAGGAAATGTTTTAGGTTTGTTGGACATAAGAAAATTATTTTCATAAACTATGAATGATAGCATCACAATATCAAATACATAAGAATAAATCTAACCAAAAAAGGCATGATCTTTATGAGAAAACATACATAACTTTATTGAAAACATTAAATGGAGAGATACACCATGTTCACGAACTGGAAAATTCAATTTCATGTGGATGTTGATTTTCCCCAAACTGATCTATAGATTCAGTTGGGTTCCATTCACAATTTCAAGGGGCGGGTTTACTGGTGGAACTTGACAAGCTGATTCTAAAATTTATATGGAAGAGCAAGGGCCAATTAGATCTTAGGAGATCATACACAGGGGTAGATAAAATGATCAGTGGGACAAGAGAGAAAAATAAATTCTATATTCAATGGATCACTATACAGCAAGGAAAAGGAGTGCTCTACAGCCACACACATTTGGATAAATCTTAGAAACATAATATTGAAGGAAAAAGCAAATCACAGAAGAATAAACATGGTGTGGCTCCGTTTATAAAATTCAAAAACATGCAAAACCAGTACAAACATATGTAATAAAATCACAGAGCAAAAGCAAGGGGATGATTAAGACAGCAGTGTTTCCTCTACCAGGGAGGGGCACAGCAGGGACCTCAAAGGAAATAGTATCCATTTCTTAAATGGGGGTGGGGAGGGTGTTGTTCCTATTTTATAAATATTTCCTTGTATCTTTTCACTATTAAAAAAAACAACAAGAAAAGATATTCTGGAGAGTGAGGGGTAAAGCCGTAAAGGAAACAGAAGTCTTCCAATGCTTATGTACGGCACAAAGTGACAGGTACACCAAGTTCCTAACAGAGTTAAAAAACAGTAATAGAGCATGCTGTTTAGAAAAACAAAGAAGTCTTAGCAGCTCAAACCTTTGTGGGCATGGGCGGGGCCTGTCAGAAGGGTGGGCTTCTCTGCGGGTTCTTGGACGGCAAGCCTGCCATGTCACTGAAGGACTACCCCCTCCCCCGGCAGCACTTGTAGGTTTCACTTAACTCCATTTTTGGTCCAGTCTCTCACCCCCACCCTCCCTAGGGCCCCCTGAGATGCAAACCTTCTTCGAAAAGCCCCCGCCTCCACCCCAGCGGGGTAGCGAGGGGTCAGGTGGGTCCTGGGGGGCGGGGCAACCTAGCTGCTTCTCATAGAGACCTTGAATCAGTCCCGGCCCTACTGTCAGCCCCAAACCTTGCCTTCCAAGGTGAACCTCTCCAGGGCTCCTGGGGGCATTCGGGCTGCCTCTTGGCCCCTCCAAGAAGGGAACGCTTAATTTCAACTTCTAATTCTCTAAGAGAGTAAATGAGCCTCTATCCACTTTCCATCTTTCAGAATGTTGTCAGGCTCTTTGGTCTAGTGCTGTCTCCCTCCTATTTTCTTTGTCTTTGTAAATTTACATCATTTTTAATTTCTTTACTATCATTTTAGATTTTAAGAGGAAACAAACTCACATGTTTAAACCTGCCACATTTAACTGGAAATGTCTATTTACTATATTTAAATAAAAGTGTTTAACAAGTAGCTCCTGAAGTGTCCAGAGAGGAGGAGCTTAGCAGTCTCAGCACCATCCAGCCAGCACAGATGCTTGAACATCCCCACCTGATTTCTCTGCCTTGATTTTTTTGGCTGTTCAAGGGTGAAGGAGAAAGCACAAAGATCTGGGTTCAAATCCGGACTCCTCCATTTACTACCATGGGATCTTACCACATCAACTCTCAGAGCTTTATCACCCACATAATTGCTGCCCCAGTGCACCAGGTTAGCTGGAGAGAAGTTCACTGAAATTGTTGCTGTGAAATGTTTCTAACTATAAAGCACTGAACCTGGGAAAGAATTCTGGACTCTCATACCCTGGAACACTACATTCTGCCTTAAGCTGCTGGCCACCCCCAGCTCCAAGGCCGCAGGAGGCAGAGCCCTGGCTGCTCACACCCTCAGGCATTCTGTGGTTCCCAGGCCTGCCAATCAGAGGAACCAAAAACAGCAGCCCAGGCAACAGTGAAGGTCCAGAAACCCACAGAGACGGAGGGAGTCAGAGAACCAAGTGGGCACTTTATTAACCTGGCAAAGGGGCAGATGGGCAGTCCGAGCAGCCCCCTGCCAGACCCTTCACTGTACTCAGGGGCCACTGATAGAGGCAGAGCCACAGGGCCCAAGCCCTGGACACTAGGAGTCCAAGCTGGGCAAGGGCAAGGCTAAGGGCGGGGCTGGAGTTGCCGAAAGCAGGCATCAAGTACCAGCGTACCAGCCTGCCGCCCCTTCTGAGGCTGGGGGTGGGCCTGAAATGAGTTATCTGAGTCCCCTCTCCTATTCCCCACTTCTTGTACAGCTCAGGCTCTTCCTGGAGTCAGGAAGCCATGAGTCCCACATCAGCTGTGGTCTGGAAGGTGATGCCGTCCCCCGGCAACGGGGAGGCCAGGAAGGGCCAGAGCCAGACAAGGACCCAGCGGGGCCCCAGGGCCACCTGCAGGTTGTGGGAGAGGCCCAGGTCGTAAGAGTGCTGGCCCCGAGCCCACTCCCACGTGGTCTGGCCCCTCAGCAGCAACATCCCATGGAAGAGCAGTCCAGCCCCGCACAACAGTGCACCCGCCACACACGTGTCGGTCACGAAGGCCAGCGCGAACTGCGCCAGAGACACTCTGCCTGCAAGGAGAGAGCAGAGAGGGTCAAGGAGAAGCAGCAGGCCCCAGCCGTCCCAGAGCCCAGCTCCTGCCCTCCTCCCGTCCCCTACTCCACCACGAAGCAGGGCGCATTCCTCTGCTCAGCAAACACTGAGTTGTTGCTCCCTGGCCAACCCATGCCGGCTGATGGGAACATACTGGTGAAAAGGGCAGACACAGCCCCCTGCCCTAGATAAGACTTTCACTCATGCATCACAAACTTGTGAGCACCTCCCATGAATACCAGGATGAATGGCAGGTAGCATGTCCGACCTCAGGGAGCTCACAGACAGACATTCAAGAGATCATGTCTCAGTTACTTAATTACAGCTGTGATGTGTGTGACAATGGAAAAGTACAGCATCTTGCATCATCTTGACCCACAGAAGGTAGTAAGTATCAGGTGAACTAATGAACTACAAGATGCCGTGAAATATGTCAAGCGAGAGAAGGCAGACACAAAAGGTTATGTATCGTATGGTGCCATTTATATGAAATGTCCCAAACAGACAAATCCATAGAGACAGAAGATTAGTGGTTGCCAGGGGCTGGGGGCACTAGGGGGAAATAGGGAGTGACTGCTTAATGGGTACTGGGGGCGATGAAAATGGTCTGGAATTAGACAGTGGTGATGGCTGCACAACATGGCGAATATACTAAATGCAACTGAACTGTGCACTTGAGAATGGTTAAAATTATGAGTCTCATGTTACGTGAATGTTTTTTCAATAAAAAAAGAGAGCCTACTGGCGGGGAGATGACATGGAAACTTATTAAGAGGCTCGGGGAAATAAACTTCATCTATTTTGACAGTGATATTTTGGGTGATGCCTGAAGGTTAAGGAGGTGTTTACTAAGTGAAGAGGGGAGAACACATTCTGTGTGAAGGTCCTGAGGCAGGATGGAGAGGTGCCTGCGAGACAAGTGAGTGGACAGTTCTGGAAGCTCAGGAGAGAAGCCCAGGCTGGATACGCAGATTTGTGAGTGGTTGGTAACCGGGCAGTTCCGAGACCCGGCAGAGTGTGTAGGGAGATGAGAATGGTGTCTCGACCTCAGCCAGGAAACCCAGGTCCTTAGGGATCAGATATAGGGAAACCAGGAAGGAAGGAGGAAACCCCAAAGTACAAGCCATTGGGGACATCAAGCGTAGAGCCCTTTAAGGAGGCTGAAGGCCAGCCGTTTTATGAGGCTGAAAGGTCTCATAAGCAAGAAAAGAACACAGAAGGGTCCTCTGGGTTTTGTGGAGACAGAGGCCTGGGGACTGTGGCAGTCTCGGAGGACGGGTGGGGGCAGAAGCCAGTTTGGAGCAGGTGGAGGAATGGGTGGGAGGCAAGGAAAAGCAGCCTATAGCCCAGGCAAGTCCTTTGACTTGGCTGCTGATGGAAGAGCCAGAAGGCATGAGCTGGAAGAGGAGGACGTGGGGTGAAGAGAGGCTTTGTACCAGCTGGGAAAACCCGAAGGAAGCCAGTGGAGGGAGCCTGGAGTGGCAGGAGGAGAAGCGACCCACGGTGTGAGGGCTCCCAGCGGGGAGGAGGGGTCAGGCACCAGGAGAAGCCAGGGCAGTGAGTTCTGCCTCCAGGACGGGACAGCCAATTCTGGACGTGCCATCTGATATCTAATTTCCTCTGTGATGTATTTTCAGGAGAGGTTGGGGCTTGGAGGACAGGAAAGTGGGAAGATCTGAGCTGCAGCCATTAGGGGGAGGAAGCTTATGAGAAACCAGGGCAACCAGGCACCACTGAGGGCCTGTTGAGGTCAGCAGCCATGAACGTGACGTGACACCGACTGCCACATAGTACCAGGCATCTCTGGCAGCTCTCTGCAGCCAAGGGCAGACACAGAGAAGCCAGGAAGGCACAGCGGAAGGAAGACGGAGCAAAAAGTCTTGAGATGAGATGCTGCGGAAGGCTGGTGGAAATGAGGGCGCGACGCTGGACCTGGGGTGGTGAAGGGGGAAGGTGCTGATGGACAGAAAGGTGAGGGCCAGGAGCTCCGGAGGGGGGTCACGGAGCACAGAGTGAGAGATGGATAGGAGAGGTGGTGGGGGCAGAGAGAGGGGTGACATGGGGTGCTCTGGGAGGGGACACATTTTGGATTCTGACACGACTGGGGTGGGGATGTGGGAGTAGGGGAAGGGAGGAGGGGAAGAGAAGGTCAAGAAGCTGGGCGACTGGGGCCATTCACCCACGCTTTCAGATACCTATGCCTTCAGCAAGGCCCAGGGCTGAGAGGGAGACGAGGGGCCGGAGCCCAAGTCTTCAGTGACTGCGGGGAGCGAGTGGGAGACCGTGGATGACCGGGGGTTGGGAGCGTGCAGACAGGAACAGCTGGAGGGCTTGAGTCTCAGTGGAGGCAGGGGGGTCATGAGGAGGGCAGAGGAGGGCTGCTCAGGAAGCCAGTGTGGGCACAGGAAAACCCTGACAGCCCCACTGGGCCTCCCAAGATGCCCCCTGGGCTGCAGAGAGGGGGTCCTGGGGACAGAGCTGGCCTTGGATAGGATGAGACAGAGCCACTATTCAGAGTTGTCAGGGAGTTTAGTAATTGCAGGACAAGGTTACAGAGAGGACCGTGGACAGGTCAGGAGGAAGGAGTCAGGGAAAAGAAAGCCCGAAGCATTTTCGGGGGCAGAGAACAAAGTATAAAAAACCAGTGGGGGGCTTCCCTGGTGGCGCAGTGGTTGAGAATCTGCCTGCTAATGCAGGGGACACGGGTTCGAGCCCTGGTCTGGGAGGATCCCACATGCCGCGGAGCAACTAGGTCCGTGAGCCACAACTACTGAGCCTGCGCGTCTGGAGCATGTGCTCCACAACAAGAGAGGCCGCGATAGTGAGAGGCCCGCGCACCACGATGAAGAGTGGCCGTCGCTCGCCGCAACTAGAGAAAGCCCTTGCACAGAAACGAAGACCCAACACAGCAAAAATAAAATAAATTAATTAATAAACTCCTACCCCCAACATCTTCAAAAATATAATAATTATTATTATGTTTTTAAAAAAAAAACCAGTGGGGTTTCTACCTTGGGTGGTGTCAGAAGAAAGTGTCAACCAGAACACAGCCTCTCAATCAGTCTCCTGATTCAAAACATCCCCTCCCCACTTCCAAAGACTGGACCTTCCCCTGCCTGTAACTTTCACTGGCTCCCCACTGCCCAGTCAGGTAAGGACCAACTCCTCACACTCCATTCAAGGCCCTCCACCATCCAGTCCTCACTTACTGCCCTAGCCTTAATTCTCACAATTCCCACCAAATGCCTTCACTACTCCGTGCCCAACCTCCAAGCCTTTGTTCACACTGCTCCCCTAGCTCCGAATGCCCCCCACTTAGAATGCTCTCTCACCGTCCCATCCCCCTCTCGGTGAAATCCCACTAGTCTTTCCTCCCCTGATTCTCTCAGCCAGAACTCTGTACCTACGCTGAGGCCCTGTATTTTACCAGACCACACACCCAAGTGAATACCAGGCTCCCTTCACCTCCCGTAATTGACATTGGGACTAGGTCCCCAGGGCGCTGCCTGGAGAACCAGCCGGAAATCCCATCGCCTACCAGAATGGGCCTCTGCCTCTCTGTGGAGGCCTCCCTGGCCCCCCACCTGTGAGCAGCATGAGCCAGGGCAGCAGGAGGAGGGCGGCAGTGTGGAGGGGTGTGTGGGCTCGCAGCAGGGCTGACAGGGCAGGGCCCAGCAGCACAGAGACGTGCAGCAGGACGCCTGCGGCGTGAAGCAGCAGACACAGGAAGGGCCGGTAGTTGTGGAAGCCCACGCAGCGGCCCAGCAGGCGGCAGTGGTGGTCCCGGCGAAGGATGCAGATGCGGCAGGCAGAGCAATGCCCGCTGCGCGGTGGCACCTGGCTTTGGCACTGGTAGCAGTAACTGCAGGGAAGGAACCACAGGGTCAGTTCCCCCAGCAGCTCTGAGTGCCCCATTTCATGCCCGGTCAGCCCCTGAGCCCATCCTGGGGAAGCAGGCACAGCCCCTGCCCTCTCTAAGCTTCATGCTCTTCACAGGTAAATGCAGGCTAAACACCACTTCCCAGGCCCTGCCATTCCTGGCACAGCAGGTCTGAGGGCTCTCCCAGCTCTGAGAGCCCCAGTCCTGAGGCCTTTCTCTGGTCTCTAACATTCGGAAGCAAACTTCTCCTGTCCTCCACTGTTACCACCTCCATCCAAGTCACCATGAGCTCCCCCCTGGATTACTGCAACAGCCTCTTGCCTGGCTTCCCTGACTCCACCTTTGTCCCAACTGGTGTAGTCTCACCCCAGCAGCCAGACTGATCCTTTTAAAATCTAAGTCAGGGGAACTCCCTGGAGGTCCAGTGCTTAGGACTCCGCGCTTTCACTAACGAGGGCCCGGGTTCGATCCCTGGCACGGCCAAGAAAAAAATAAATCAAGTAAATAAAATCTAAGTCACGTCCCTCCTCTGCTCAAAACCCTCCAATGGCTCTCCATTTCACTTCTAGTAAAAAGCAAAGTCTTCGAGGTCTTACAAGGTCTTTATGTCTCTGACTTCTCCCCCCTCACTCCACTTTGGCCACACTTGCTGTTCCTGGAATATGCTGGGCACACAAATGCCTCAGAGTCTTTGCATCATCTGTTCCCTCTGCCTGGAACATTCTTCCCCCAGATGACTCTGGCTAACTCTCTCCCCCCTCCAAGTCTTTGCTCAGATGCCACCTTCTCAATGAGGCCTACCTTGACCACCCTATTTCAAACTGCAATTTGAGTCTCCTTTATCCTGCTCTTTCTGTTTCCTTACCACCAACACCTTCTAACATTCTACATTATTTTCTGATTTATTACGCCTAAAGTTTATCATCTGCCCCCTCCCTGAAATCAGGAATATGTTTTATTGTACCTCCAGTGCCTGGAATAGTACCTTGCACGTAGTAGGTACTCAAATATTTGTAAGTGGATGAATGATACTCCTTCTGCCGTCTGGTTCAAGCGGATCTTACTGTAAACTGGTTCTAACATCTTCAGGTCCTGAGGCCCTCCCCCTGCCCAAAGCTCCCGCTTCTCCCCCCGCCAGATCCCGTGCCCCACTCACGCCCAGCCCTGGCCCAGACCACGGCCGGCCAGCATCACACCCCGGATGCTGGGGTCCGAGCGCAGGAAGAGCCCCACGTTGCCCAGTAGGTTGAGCAGCTGAAAGGTTGCCAGCGCAAGCTGCAAGGTCCGGGCCAAGGGTCCCAGTGGGGGCGGCCCGGGACCCAGTACCAGCACGTAGGCCAGCTCCAGGCCCACGGCCGCGGCCCACAGCGCGGTGAGCACAAGAGGAAGCCGCGCCGACGCCGCCTCTGCGTTCCCCACAGCCCTGGGCTGCCCCATGGCCTGGACCCACTAGCGGTCGGATCCTGGGTACCCCACCGCTTCCGTATTGGGGCGGGGAGAGTGGCAAACGGACGTCTGTTACGACCAATAGAAGCTCTGAAGGGGTGAGCGAGCGTTGAGGTTCACGGGGAGGGCCCGCAGATTTGGAGATGTGATTGAACGGCCGAACGAGCCAAAGAGATGCTTGGAATCCCGTTGGCGCTAGAGCCGGTAGGGCAGCGCGGTGACAGCCCACCCGCGCAGGCCCCGCCCCTCCCGCAGAAGCTCCGCACGCTGGTCCCGCTGGCCCGCACTCCGGGAGGATTGAGTTGCAGCTTTGGTGCTGTCGGTGTTTCGCGGCTCAGCACATTTCCCCCTCTCCCTCTAGTCGCCCCGATATTAATAGCCCTGCTTCGGCCCATCCAGCTGGCTTGGAGCCTCTCCCCATGCTCTAGTGTCTCCCTTCATCACGCCAGAAAACATTCAAAACAGCTCGGCGCCTCGGTGTTTCTGACTGTGAAATGGGAATAGTGCTCCCTGTTTCCCACCAGCGCGGCGCAGGAAAAGGGTCACGAGGCCCAAAAGGTAGCTTCTAGAGCAGTCTGCAGCCACTATTATTATCGTCATCTTCGTTGTACATGTGAGGAAACAGACTCAGAGAGGGCCCGTGGCTTTCCCAAGAGTCACACAGCGCCCAAGCTGCGGAGCCGGAACGCGAACCCCGGATCTCCGCCACGGGGTACACCCCAGTGCCCCCAAATTCTGCAGTCTCCTAGCCTCAGGACAACCTGCCTGGTCCCGACCCGAGTGGCCTCGCCCCCATCCGGCCCCTCCCTTCTCCCCCATATTTAGCAGGAATCCGATCCGGGGCTGGGCCGGGTGCTACTTAACGCGGCCCCCATGTTCTGGAGCGCGCCGAGCGGAGCGGAGCCAGGAGCCCGAGCGAGATGATGATGGTTATGCAGCCCGAGGGTCTGGGGACCGGGGAGGGGCCCTTCGCGGGCGGCGGCGGCAGGGGCGGCGAGTACATGGAACAGGAGGAGGACTGGGACCGCGACCTCCTGCTGGACCCGGCCTGGGAGAAGCAGCAGCGGAAAGTGAGTGCTAGCCCATTTCCTGATGGCAAAACTGAGGCCTGAGAAGCCAGGCGGTTTGTCCTTGGCATCTCAGCAGGTCAGGGGCAGAGCCTGTCTTAACCCTCAGTGCCACTTCCTCGCCCAGGCTCTGACCATCAGTCCTCTGCTGTCCCCCAGGGCCCGAAGAGAGGGCTGGAGACCCTCACGAGGGGTTTAGGAGGACAAGAAGAGTTTCAGGGGTCCCCACCCCACAGGGTTCATTCCCCTGGGCCCACTGCTCCACTTCTGCTAAGGAATATGGTTTGGGCAAAGCCCGGGAGATCCAAGTTCAGGGTGTGGGTGGGGTCGGGAAGAATGATCTTTGTCTCCACAAGCCCAGTCTCTAGTGAAATATTCCCAGACCCCACCTGCAGACTTGCAGCCAGGCAGCTAGAGGACTTGGGAGTGTGGGGAAGGGGTAACCGTCACAGACCTCTTCCCCACCCTCTCTATGTTCTCTCCAGCGTGGTGTCCGTGGTCACTCTATCCCAACTGTCAAATGAGGAAACGGGCTGAGATGGGACCCAAATCATATGCTGTCAGAAAACAGGACGCCCCGCAACCTGAGGGTCTTTGCCCATTGCTTGCCCCACCCCCATTCTTTCCCAAGATACCCCTCCTCACCCCAGGGGCCCTGAATCTGCTAAAAAGCCCACAAGGTCGGGGAGGAGGGGAGCCCTGGGTTCCCTTTTGTGGTAGGTAACCTGACTCTTTGGCCAGATAGACATTTCGTGCTGAGACAGCACCTTGGAGAGCTGAGAGGGGCACATGGGCAGCTGCTGCCCAGGCCCAGCCTTGTAAGGCACTCGGACCTCCCCTCCCTGATCTATTTTCACTCCCAGACTTTCCCAAGTGGAGGGGGCAGGACACCTGGGGACCCAAAAGAGAAAATGATCCAGGCTGGAGTGAGGAAACTTTGGGGAGTGTGGCAGGACAGCAGTAGGAGTGTACCACGACGTCATTAGACCCTGCTCAGCACTTGCCAACAGTGTATGAGTCCAGGAAAGGGCAGGGGAACAGGGGTGTTTGGTGGAATTTGCAGGATCTGAGAATCCCAGAATTTAGAATCAGAGCATTTCTGCTGGGTTAGTTGATAGGAGATGACCCCAGGGGCTGGGAGGCTCAGCTGACTTGGCTAGGGTGCCCGGGGTGACACGCCTCCCCCCAGACTCCTCCTGCACCTGTCTCCAAGCAGGGCTGTGGTCCTTGGGTCCAGCAATCTCCCAGTGATGTCATCCCTGCCCCTGGCTCCAGCTGCCATCTGCTCTGCAACAACTCCTATCCCCACCACCCACCCACCCAGGCCTCTCCCAGATCCAGGTCCACATGCCCCTCATAAGATACAGGCTAGTCTGTAACCTGCTTTCATCACTTAAAATATCAGGAGCATCCTTCCAACCCAACTTACAGCCACCCACCTCACTGACTCATTCAATGATTGCACAGAGTAGACGCTCTGTAAATTCATCAGCACCCCCTGGAGCTGGACATTCCGGTTGTTTCTCATCTAACATTGTTTATTACAATGTAATGAACATCTCTGTGCTCAGTTTTAGTCCCACCCCCATGCCTGCTTCTCCTCCATGTCTTGAAGCACTCCTGCCTCCCCCACCTGATAACCGAGTCCTCTTTATTCAACCTCACTGCAAACATTCATTCATTGTTTCTTAGGGAGGTCCTAGTATGTGCCAGCCACTGTTTTAGGTGCCAGCAATTCAGCAGGGGACAAAATTAAAGACACCGCCTCACGGAGCTTATCTTCTAGCAAGGACAAATGTTTCCATCTCATCCACTTCATCCTGCCCTGTCCCACTCACTGACACCTTTCCTCCCTCACCCTGGTCTCAGTCGGCACCTCCTCACTTCTCCCTTCTGCTCTGCGAAGCCATTTGTCTCCCCTCTGCAACCAGAATGAGCTTTCTAAAACACAGTGCTGCCCCTCCCTGTCCTGTGCCTGAAAGCTTCCCTTGTTGCCCTCAAGATCAAGTTCAGACTCCCTGGCTTAGCACTCAAGATTGTGCATGACCTGGCCTCTGCCGCCCCTCCGGCCTGCCTCTCACCGTGTATACCCCAACACCCCCAGAGCAGTGCCCAGATAGCTGTAGCTCCGCAAACCTAGTAACTGTTTCTCATCGCCAAGCACTTGCCCGTGTGGCTGCCCCTGCCTGGAATGCCCTTGCCTGCCCTTCCCTGCCTGAGTAACTCCTGCTCTTCCATCACAGTTCTGATCAATTATTAACCTTCCCCAAGAGGTTGATATGAAGAACTTGATATGAAGAACTCCTCCCCTAGTCTCCCCAATACTAGTCTCTCCCAGCACTCCTCAGACCAACAGGACTCTTTGACTGACTGAGTTCCTTTAGGGCAAGGAGCAAATCTCACTAAAAGTCATGTTTGTCAAATGAAAAATGCCCCTTCCTCCACCACGGAGGCCTCACCCAGTCCTGCCTTTCCTCCTGCCCTATCTCGACCCAGCACCCACTTACCCAGCGGAGGGAAAGA